AACGCCAACAGCGCTGCCGCCGCCGCCGCTGGCCGACAGCAGCCGGGGCCACCTGCTGGTGCTCGCGGCCTCGCGGAGGCCGATGGCGCCAGAGCCCCCCTGCCGCCTGTCACAGTCCACATCGCGAACATGACCGCTGTCGGCCACGATCCGCCCAAGGAGGCGCAGGAGTGCACCGCCCCCATCGCCAACCTGGATCGTCGCCTTGACGGGAAGGCCCTGGAAGCCACCTTCAGCTTGCGCGGCATCATCGTCACCTGCGACATTGCCACAGACCCACAGGGCCAATCCATCGGTTATAGCTACGTCCAGTACCGCACCGAGCGCGCCGCGAAGCTCGCTATTGGCCAGCTCAATGGCATGAAGATCGGCGACAACGCAGTCACCGTGAGCGCCCGCCAGGACACCGAAGCCCACCCCATTCTCTGAGCGCGGTCTTCCCCAGCCTTCCCCTACTGCCTGCCCTCCCACTGTTCCGATGTTTGCCCCTGCTTTTCCACCTCTTCCTACTCCTCCCCCCCTCGATGCGGCGGTGGAGGCGGCATAGGGTGATCGGTTGGAGGGGGAGACATCGCGGCACTAACAGCGCAGCGAACAGCTCGCCGCAACTTCGCTGGCGCTGGCCACTGTCACCAGAGGAGGTGGGGGAGGTGATATCAGGATGGGGCGGGAGCAGCAGTGTCGGCGTTCCCACAGTCCGCGACAGCGAACCTGCCAGACGAGTCCCCGCAGGCAGCCTGCATGGAGGAAGCCTCATCCCCATTCCCTTGTTTCCTTTCATGTCTCTCTCCTTCTTCACGCTACATGCCTCCTTTCTTGCTGCGTATCAGTCTTTTCATCGGAGAATGCGTTCCGCATAATTAGGCATCGACACATTTCACCAATTACCTGGGGCAGAGCATAGGCTTGCCCAGCGTACGGTCGCACGGCCCACCATCCTTTCCTTCCCCTATATGCCCTTCCCCCAGAAACACAACATGACGGCACTTCTTTTTCAGCTGGTAAGCCTACAGTTCACAGCGCGATGCGGTCACGACTGCGCATATGCCCCGCACCCAGTCCGCACCCCGACGTGTACAGTACATCCGCAGTCCGAACACCAGACGTTCCTGTCGCACGCCCCACCCCTGACGCTGCCAATTTCCCTTGACAAGCCAAGGAAGACGGTGACGGGGCCACCAGAAGCCCCTAGGAACCGAAAAGAGCAACCAAACTGCAGGAAACGAGCAAGCTAAAAGTAGCTAGGGCCAAGGGGCCCGAATAAGGCTTACACTTTTCTCCACCATCACTGTCCGCGCCGCCGCCGCGCCTCGCCGTCTATGGGGTCGGGGGGGGGTGGGAGTCTATGGGCGGAAGGGAACTCACCGGCGCAGAATGAATTTCGCCCACCAACGCCCAGAGGGCTGGCAGATGTCAACCTCACTTGTCGTCGCGCGCGAGCCGACCGCGGTCGTATAAGCGCTGCTCTTTTACCCGTGCGACCGCCCGCCTGCTTTCCACTCCGATCATCTCGGGCCTTACCCACTCCAGCCGCCCTGCAAGAAGCAAGGCCCGAGCAAGGTCGAGTGGCGACTCGCGATCTCCGAAGGCTCAACAGCAGGCGCACGCCCAACCCAATCGCCGTTGGCTCTCGCCTGTCCAGGTAGACGCCCGCTGCGGCCACGCCCAGTCCGTCCCTTTTTGTCAGTGCCGATGCCGACCCCGCAGTTCTCACCGCCACCTCTCTTTACCGCCAAGCTGTCATGGGGAGTGGCGGAAAGGAGGAGATGGGGGGCGACGGAAGAAACGGACTCGCCCAGAGGTGCCACGATGGCCTCGCGGCCGGAGCGCCCCGCTTGCTTTGTTTTTTCCCGCGTCCCCTTCAACCCTGTGCCCATTGATGTATCCTTGTCTCCCTCTTTTCCCCCTCTTTATTTTACCTTGCGCTTGTGCCCATTGCGACCGCTTATCTTTAGGCCCCGGCCTCTGTCCGACCCCCCTAGCGCCCCCCCAGTTCATTCCACCGCCGTTTCTCTGTCATGCGTTCCGTACTCATTTGGGGGGGCGCTGATGGGGTTCGGTGAATGGCTGGGACCTCTCCCTCCTCTCCCCCGCCTCGTCGTGCGTGCTTTCCCTCCCTTGTTCCTCCCGTTTCGACCCCCTCCGCGTGTCTCCCTCGCCTCCTGGGGTAGCCCCCTTTCGGCTAGTGGCGCCACCCTTCAATACCGGCCCTGCCTCCGGGGCACGGCTGGGAACGGTTTCAGGATAACATCAAATCAGCCGATAGCAGCAGCTGGAGAACAGGGAGTAGGAAAGGGGCACGAAGGAGGAGGAGACGAAGGAGGGGTGGGGAGCAGGAGGAGGAGGAGGAAAAGGTAAGTGCAGGAGCGAGGGGGAGGGGGATGGTTCGTGCCGTCCCGCCTCGGGATCCTGGGCGGGCCCGGGCACGAGCTGGAACAGCCGCAGCAGGCTGTCCCAGTCCTCCCGCCCGAAGCGGATCTCGAGCCTCATCACCGCCGTCATCATCATCTGAATCACCACCATCATCGTCGTCGGCAGCATCGCCAGCATCATCATGGCTGTTATCCCAATCATCCTTTCTCCTCATCCCTCTTCCCTCCCCGGGGTCTCGAAAGGTCTACTGAGTCTCCATTGTTTTCCGCGGAGGTCCATCAAGGACAGAGGCCAAAATTCGCTCGAAAATCTTGAGCCTCATCCCCCTTTTCTCATTCCCTCCTTCGGGACTTAAGATAACGTTACCGGTGCGCATCGGACCTCTCTTGGGGTGCGCTCTGACCAGGAATTCCAAGCGAATCTGGATGTGGCGACGAGACACTCGTGAAGCCCGGAAAAGCAAATACGAGAGATGAGATCCAGAATAAGAAAAATCTACTGCATACACATACGCTTGGGGAGGTCCCACGCAGATGTCTTGGATCGACGCTGGACCCGCGCGCAGAGCGAGCCAGGGGCGGCGCCAGAAGCGCCGCCAGGAGTCGGGCACCGATCCAGGAAATCCGCACGGACCTCCGAAAGTGTCTGTGTGTGTGCCAGTGGTCCTTCTTCGAGCGTCCATATCCGTATGGCTGTCTCCTGAATCAAAGCGTGCTGACGCCTCGCGTGCAGGGGAAACCAGAAGGTACCGATACCGCTGCTCCCCGGACCTATCCCAGACCCCCGGGGTGCTTTCTTACCAAAATCTTGAGTCGAATCCAACGAAGACGACGAAGGCCTCCCGGGAGGCCGAAGAAAGGGACAACGGGCGAAGGGTAGCCGTAACGGTGCCTCTTCCTCCGCGGAACTTTGCGTCACCGCCGCCATCCTCCGACCTGCCGCCAGCTTCCGCCCCAAAACTGGCCTGCCTGTCCCGGGATCTACTGACCTAGGCCAAATCAGTCCCGGGTCAGGCGGGCGTTGCAGGATCCTGCGAGATCCTGCAAGATCGTGCAGGAACCTGCGCCTAAGCCCGGGTCAGTGCGACCCTGGCCCTGCAGGATCCTGCAAAATCTGGCGCCCTGACTGACCCGGTTTGCAATGACCCCCGCCTCCTGAGTCCCGACCAGGAGGGAGGAGGAGGAGGAGGAAGAGGAGGAGGAGGAGGAGGAGGACGAGGAGGGGGAGGGGGATGGGGGAGGAGGACAAGCTATGTGCGCTCGCATCATGTCTGATTTCCTACCCCTCCCGACCATTCCTTACCACGGCGTAGACATCCCCTTATTCGAACAGTCGGATATCGAGCAGGGCAATGATCGCGAGAGGGTACGCGATGCATAGTAGAGCACGGCACTGCAGAGCGCAGAAGAGCACGGCAGAGCGTAGCATGCCATAGCATAGCGTAGCATTGCGCAGCGAAGCATTGCATGGCGTAGAAGAGCACGATTGAGCGTATCATGCCATAGCATGGCGTTGCATTGCGCAGTGAAGCATTGCATCACAAAGCGTAACAACGCAAATAATGGCATCGCTCAGCGGAGCAGAACGCAGCACCGCACAACATATCATGGTATGACGCCGGGTTCCTTGGAGGGTAAGTGGATCGTCTTCGAGAGGTCTGGGCCGGTCTGGAGTCGTGGATCCATGTCTAGCTCCTTGGGCTCTCCGGAAAGCTCCACACAAGGCGGAGCTGATGGAGAGCACCCGCTGGCTCTGCTTCCAACATCGCCTTCTCAAAGCAGAAACGGGTTCCCGCTTGATACTTCCTGAAAACGACGACGCCCCAGGTTCTGCGGCCCAAAATATCAACGAATCGACACCGAATGTGGAATCACTTCCGAATCGCCGAAGGTTTTTTCGGGGGCATTCCTAGATTGGGGGGGCTATCTGGGAAAAACGGCAACGCCAGCGCTGCAGCGGGAGCACGATCAGGAACAACCAGAGGCGCAGAAATTGGGCCAGCGCTTCAGCGGGAGCGACATATACATATATCTATAGTATTGTGAAAATCCATTTCCCGGGAATCCTGTGCGTAAAAAAGCAATACGTGGAGGGGGGCGCCAGAGATCTTCCGGACGTCATCAGGGGAGAATGGAGAGCAGTACAATCGGGTGCAACTGAGGAGGAGGAAGAGGAGGAAGAGGAGGAGGAGGAGGAGGAGGAGGAGGAGGAGGAGGAGGAGGAGGAGGGAGGAGGAGGAGGAGGACGAGGAGGAGGAGGAGGAGGAGGAGGAGGAGGAGGAGGAGGAGGAGGAGGAGAGAGGGGGAGATCGGAGGAGGAGGAAGAGGAGAGAGGAGGAGGAAAGAGGAGGAGGAGGAGGAGGAGGAGGAGGAAGAGGAATCTGTGCCCTGCGCCGGCCTCCTGCCGAGGAGGAGGTGGCAGCTCCTCGCCCCCTCGAGGGCGAGGCCCCGCCTGGGACGCGGCGCACGGGCTCCCTTCGGGGGCGATCCCCGGGAGTGAGGCCTCCGAGGGCGGCGTGTCGAGCGAGGGAGGGAAGTCCGAAGGAGAAGGCCCTCTCATGGGACGCACGGAGACATCTTCTTTTTTCGGCGCGACGGCGCACACGGGCCGCCTCTGCCCCCCCGCGCCCGCTTCGTCTCTTGGCCCCAGTTGGGGCGGGCGGTACCGAAGGACATCCTGTTCTTCCTCCCCCCACACGCCCATTACCCAGCACAAGCTGTGCGCGGGGGGGGGGGTCTGGGACGCACAGAGTTTTTTTCAGAGCACCCCACATGGAAATCCCGCGAACGCCTCAGCCCGCAGTCGTTCCGTATGGAGCTGGGAGCACCAGCGCCGCCACTGCGGCAGGGCGACCACGTGCCTGGCTGCGCTTTTGTTTTGTCCCCTAGAGACAGATTAGTCCGTATGTCCACCTGGGAGCGCACGTCCGACCCGAACATGCATTGTGCCCATATTGTAGTAGATCGATTCCCGAGCGGTGCGGCCAGACAGCGCCCACCACGACGCATATACTACAAGATTTCTCGGTGCGCGCGTCGCCTCAGGGGGGGCGACGCGCGCATAGCATCAGTATGGAGAACAGAAGGCCCTCTCAGAGGGCGGCGGGGCTTCTCAGAGGCCCTCTGGCCTTCTGAGAAGCTTCCCGGGCCTTCGGGGAGGCCTTCGAAGACTTCTCAGGCGGAGGAGGAGGAGGAGAAGAAGGAGGAGGAAAAGAAAAGGGAGAGAGGAGAGAGGAGAGAGGGGGAGGAGGAGGAGGAGGAGGAGGAGGAGGAGGAGGAGGAGGAGGAGGAGGAGGAGGAGAGAAAAGGAGGAGGAGGAGGAGGAGGAGGAGGAGGAGGAGGAAGGCCAGAGGACTTCCGGACCTTCTGAGGAGGCCTTTTCCTTCTCGCTTCCCCCCCTGGCGCGCCGCCGACATGCGGGGGGGGCGCAAAAATCCGCCGGCCCTGTCGGCGTGTGGAAGAGGCTGTTCTGTTTGCCTCGTCGTCGTCGTCGTCGTCGTCGTCGTCGTCGTCGTCGTCGTCGTCGTCGTCGTCGTCGTCGTCGTCGTCGTCGCGTTTGACCCCCCTGCCTCAGGGCTCGTCGCGCTCCCCCCCTTTCACTGGGCCCTCCTCCAAGATTAAGCAACGTCGCAGTCGAGTCGAAGCGAGACCCGTTCCCTTTGATCCCATTCCCCCCCTCGGGAGGGTGAAGGAGGTGGGGGGGGTCCAAGGGGGGTCCAAGGGGGGTCCTGGGGGAGGTCCTGGGGGGTGTCCTGGGAGGGCTCTGGGGAGTTCCAACAGGGGGTCCCAGGTCAGAATACCATCCTCCCCGGAGGGGTCCTGGGGCCCCAACAGGCCACAAGACAGCCCAAGAGGCCCTCAAGACGGTCCAAGAGGGCCCCCGAATCGCCCCAAAAAATTGGTCGAAGACTCCACGGATGGCCTCCTGACAGCCCAAGCGGCTTCCAAGACGCTCGAAGAGGCCTCCAAGAACACACCAAGAGGGCTCCAAAAGTCAAAATCAAATGATGTTCTCTTGGTTGTTTGCCAGATTCTGGCGTTCTCGCCTTTTCGGCTTCCCGACGCCCCAAGACGGCCCAAGATGCGACCAAAATCGGCACAAGAGGTCCCCAAGAGGTTTCCAACACGGCCCCAAAACGACTCAAGAGGGCCCAAAGACGGCCGTAGAGGCCGTCCAGACGGCCCAGGAAGACCCCAAAACGGCTCCAAGAGGGTGTCCAAACGGGAGCCCGAACAAACGTTCCGAACCCTCGGTCCCCAGAAGCTCCCGGGGAGGCCCCCGAGAGGCCCTTAGGAGGCCCCAGGAGGGACCCCCCAGAGGCTCCCAAGAGGCACCCAAGAAAACTCTCTGGAGGCTCCTGCCCTCCAGATGCCTACGAGCGCGCTCCGAAGAGGCCCCACGAGGCACGTCTGAGGACTTTCTGCCCCACGTCAGCGTCGTCGCCGCCGCCGACGCCGCCGCCGCCGTGGTCGCCGTCGCCACTCAGGGTCGGCGGCACCGGCCGTGAGGCCTTCCCCGATCATGGCCCGAGGCATGGGCGCGGACGAGGTGGGGAACACAGGACACATTGGAAAAAAGAGAGAGGGCCGTGAGATCTGGGGAGATATCATGGCCCCCGCCAGGATACCCCCCCCGTCGCCATCACCCATCGGCATCGGGGAAACGGGGTCCTGAGGGAAACGGGTCCTGGACCCTGACGAATTCTTCTCATCCTGCGTCGTTTCCTGACAGTCCCGGTCCCGTGGAGGGCCCCGAGCGCCCGAAAACGGCGACAAACCTCAGGACCCGTTTCTCCCATAGCGAACCTCCCTTCTTGGCCCCCCCAGATCGGGAGCGGCCAAGAGGGGGGTGTCCAAGAGGGGGGGTGCAAATCATGACCGGTGGCATGTGCGCGGCCCAGCGGGGGGACCAGGGACGTAGTGAAATAAGAAGGGGCGCCACGAAATCTGGGGAAATGTCATGGCCCCCGCCATGAGATCCACCCCCCCCTCGTCATCGCCCGCCTCTTTGCCGCCCCCGACCATAAACACCCCGCGGCCTCTTCCTCAGCCGGGGCGTGTCCGTGAACTCCTGGACCCTCTTGTTGTTGCGCTGGCGCACAGAGCGTCGGCCCTTCTTCCTCCCCTCCTGCACGCGGCCCGCCGCCGGGCGGGCGAGGAGACTCCTCCGTCCTCTCCGCCCTCCGCGCGCCTCGTCTTTCTCCTCCTCCTCCTCCTCCTCCTCCTCCTCCTCCTCCTCCACCGCCTCCACCTCCTCCTCCTCCTGCTCCTCCTCCTCCACCCTCTCTCCTGGTCCCCCCCTACTTGTCCTCACTCCTCTTCCTCTCTCCCCCTCCCCCCCTCCATCCTCCTCTTTCCTCCTCCCTCCTCCGCCCTCCTCCTCCTCCTCCTCCTCCCCTCCTCATCCTCCTACTTTTCCCTCCCATTTCCTTCCTCCTCCTCCTCCTCCTCCTCCTCCTCCTCCTCCTCCTCCTCCTCCTCCCCACCCGCACGCACAGAGGAGGGAGAAGAGGAGAAGGCACCCAGACATGTTCGGAAGTTTCTGGGGGGTTATGGAGGTCTTCGGGCCCGGTGGAGTGCTCCGTCAGCTGCGCCCCCGAGGAGGAGGAGGAGGAGGAGGAGGAGGAGGAGGAGGAGGAGGAGGAGGAGGAGGAGGAGGAGGAGGAGGAGAAAGACGAGGAGGAGGAGGAGGAGGAGGAGGAGGAGGACAGAGGAGGAGGAGGAGGAGGAGGAGGAGGAGGAAGAGGAGAGAGGGAGAGAGAAGGAGGAGGAGGGAGGAGGAGGAGGAGGAGGAGGAGGAGGAGGAGGAGGAGGAGGAGGAGGAGGAGTGGAGGAGGAGGAGGAGGGGAGGAGGAGGGGAGAAGGAGGAGGAGGAGAACGAGGCTGAGGAGGGGGAGGATGAGGAGGAGGAGGGGTGGAGGAGGAGGAGGAGGAGGAGGAGGAGAGGAGGAGGAGGGCTAGATGAGGTGGGAGAGAGACGAAAGAGGCATGCTGGGTGCGCTATGTCCATATCTGACATCCTACCCCATCCCACCCATCCCCTCCGATTGCGCTGATATGTCTTTAACTGCCGACGGGAGCCCTAGCGGCCCTGGAGCACCCAAATGACCACACTGTGCGATACGCAAGCAGACACTGTGCCGGCAACGAACGTCGCGACAGACGCCATCATTATCGTTTCCGGCTGCACCCAGTTAATTACACGTAGTTACACCTCGCTGAATCGAGCTGCCCGTAGCTACACGTGAGTACAATTAGGTGAACCGAACTACACGTAGCTACACTTAACTACGTGTAGCTACTCGTAGTCACACGTGGTTTCACGTAATTGAACGTAGTTGCACGCAGATTCACGTAATTATAGACAAGTACTTGCACGTAAATTATCCGAAGTGTACCACATTGTTGCATATTGTAATCAGCCTGTGTCCACGCGCGCCACATGCGCATGCCACTGTGATGTTTCTGCGCGCCCGACTTCCACGAGTCATCATCTCGGACAAGCCAAACAAAAATGCTACACAAACGTTGTTCTGCAAATAATGGGTCTCAAGCCTTGGCATCACGCGGAGCGAATCCTCGTTCCCAAATCTTCGTCAACATCTCGACGTTGGATATCCGATCACCCCCAAAGCCCCGATCCCCGAACCGCGATCACTGATCCTCGATGCTCACCAAAACCTCGACCCTTGAACCTCAAATCTCGATTCTGGCCAGACCCTCGGTCCTCGGTTTCCGCCAAACCTGAATCCTCGCACGTGCGCCCCATGGTCGATCCTGGAATAGCGATCCTCGGTCGTCGATCTGTATCACAGCCTCGATCCTCCAACCTCGATCCCCGATCCTCGCCGAAACTTGCAGCCTGGTCTCGGTCTTCGGGTCTCGGCTCTCGACCCACAACTCCTGGTCGATCGTCGAACCTCCCTCCATAATCCTCGCCAAAACGTCCTTCCTCGATCCTCAATCCACGCCTGCTGGTCGACCCTCGAATCTCGATCCACTCGCCTCCATGCGGATCCTGGAACCTCGAGCCCAACCAAAACCGTCAATTTCGATCCACGGCTCCGAGTCCCCACAGGCTCGAGCATCGAATCCCCACAGGCTCGAGCATCGATACACCAAACTCGAAATTCAATCCTCGACCTCCGAATGTCGATTCACGGACGCCAGCCGTCCCGATTCCCCGTCCCCCTTCCTCGTTCCCCCACATCCTCAACAGTACATTTTACACGAGACCATTACTCTCTCTCTCTCTTTCCCGTGATGCAGTCGTTCTTTGAAGCCGTTGTTTCGCGTACTGTGCCCTAAACGTACGATTGGCCTCAGATCGTTGAAAAACCACGTAGCTCGAATCAGAAAGCTCCCCGTGCTTCAAGAGTGGTGTTCGGCCACATCGCTTGCTAAATCTTAGAGGTTAGAGGGCAGAAAATCCATCCCGATAATAACAACCCCGACACGCGAAGCCGCTTAGTAAACTCACCCAAAGCAGGAATCAAACAGGGCAGGTCTGTTGAGCAAACGCCCAAGGCCGTTTAGTAAACGCCACTTCTCCGGTCCGGGTGTTTTTTTTCCTCCCTTGAACCTTAGCGGTCGACGAAAGCCCGTCCAATATGAGGACGCTCCCTCCTGGACCCGGTAAGCTCCATCGGTCCTGCACCCTTCCGTGGGCCGACCCCGAAGCACCGGTGCACCCTGGCTGCTCGCGATGTCGCGGGCCCTGGACGCAATCGACCCCAGATGCTCGGCTGTGGATATCCTCGATCTTCGGTCGGTCCTCCACAATCGGTGTTCGACACACCCTGATTCATGGATGCCGTCTTGAGATAGAGGCGGACTCGTCCTGGGCCGGCATTGGGATCGTCCGCCGCGACTCGCCGCCAGGACCCTGGTCGGAGCTGGGCCGCCGACGCCGCCGCCGTCAGCTCGATGCTGGAATGCTGGGTTCGCGACGCCGGGGCAGCGCTTGACGTCCGAAATCCGAGCCACCTCGGGTCCAAGGTCCTCGGCAGCTGGCCGATCCTGCATGGTTCCTGGACTCCCCGTATCGGACCCTCGGCCTCTCTGGTGGAACCTCGCTCCTCGATCTTCGCGACAAGGGGGGAACATAAGAGGAGGAGGAGGAGGAGGAGGAGGAGGACGAGAAGGAGGAAGAGGAGGAAGAGGAGGAGGAGGAGGACGTGGCGGATGATCAGGATGGTGACCAAGAGGAAGGGGCGGAAAAGGAAAAATGGGGAGGAGCAGACGCAGGAGCAGGAATAGGAAAAGCAGGGGGACCAGGATGACCAAGGGAAGGCGGAACGGAACGACGGCGACGGAAACGGATTCTGAAGCGCAGCCTGCGCTTGGGGTAGAACGCCGTTCTGAGCGACGGGAGAAAAGCGCCGATCCTGACATGAGGCCAAAGCCGAAGCGGGATCACCATTCCGAAAAAGTCCCAGGCAGGGTACAACGCACGCACCAATATCCTACCAACATATTAACCACCGTAGACGCCAACCAGACATCTATTCCAACCCTGGACGCGCAATATCTGCAGTGCATCAATGCAGTGCAAGCTATGCGGCGCAAGCTACGCGACTCAAGTTACGTGGTGCAAGCGAAGTGGTGCAATCTATATACGTGGTGCACTCTGCGCAGCGCAAACTGTTGTTCCACGCTGACCACACACCCCACCTCGATGAGAGCGGGCGCACGGTTCGTAGGCCCCCGCGGGAACCCAGAAAGTCAGCCCTTACCGGGCCAGTACGAACAGCGGCAAGCAGCCGCCACTCCTTCGAGCGCCAGGCATCGCGCAGCGTCCAGGATCACTATCGCGGGGCAAGCGGTGCAGTGCAAGACTCGTGGTGCAAGCATATATGTGTGGCGTAAGCTGCGCGGTGAAATATCAAAAGGCCGCGAAGGCCGAGCACGGGGCCGCAGAGGGCCCGCGGACGGGCCCAGTGCCTTGCAGAGGAAGCAAGAACTCACACTTGCGAGCACTGCTCGGGGACATCGAACAAAAACGCCGAACAAAAAAGGAAAGGAAAGGCCCCGAAGACCCGCGGAGCGGGCGGAGGGGCGGCAGGCGCCCAAGGCGAGGCCTGTCCGGCGCAGGGGCGACGACAACTATACATGTCCCTGGCCAGGCCCCTCCTGGCTGGGCCAAGAGGGCGCATGCACAGCTCCTGGGTTCAGGGCGGGCCTGGCCAGGGAGCAGTGGATACTCCGAGTTTATTAAGAAGCGTCGGGGGGGGGCGTCACCCCCGCCGACAACCCCACATCGACCCCCGTCGCGGGCAGCCACCGCGCGCCAAAGGCGCTCCGACCCCCGTCGCAGCGCGACGACGAGGCGAGGTTGACCCTCGTCGGGGGGGTACCCCCCCCACGCTTATCAAGAAACCCAGAATATAGATGTCGTCGCCCGGCAGCGAGCGCGCGCGCGGCAGATCTTCTGCGCGAAGGAAAGCGTCGCGCGCCGTCCTCGCCGACAGGGCTCGGCTCTGGCTCCAGGCACGGGCCGCAGCCCCTCAAGCCGCAGGCCGCCGCGGCCCCTGCCCGCCCAGTCGCGCGCGACCAAGAGATCCCCAGAGGCAACCTTCGGGAGTTACTGGAAGCACCCCTGGCCCCCAGAGGCAACCTTCGGGAGTTACTGGAAGCACCCCTGGCCCAAGGTGCCCCCCGGATCTCCAAGGAGGCCCCCGCGGCCTTCAGGGCGCCCCTCACGAGGCCCAGGGGACCCCAGAGGCTCCGAACTAGAGCGAAAAGCTGGGGGTACCTTGGGCCAGGGGCACCCCCAGTGACACCCGAAACTTCGGATGGTGGCCCTCGGAGGTAGCGCGCCGCGCCGGGAAAGCCTCGCTGCAGACAGAAGGAGCCACATACGCAAAAACGGCACCAAAAGACAAGCGTCAAACACCCAGCCCATGCAATATCCTGACACTCCGAAACCAAGCGGGCACTTTCAGCTCGCCGCTGAGCGGCCCAACGCGGCCGCATCTTGCCGCGGGACCCTCTACCTTACGAATCTGAGCAACGGCGCCAGCCCCTTGAAACATGGGGGTCCGCCCGCGGTCAAGGCAGGTGCCGTGGAGGAGCTCGCGGATATCTTCTTCGCCCAGCACCCCGCCCTCGGGCCATGCGAATCAGTCG